CTGATCACTGACCCCTGCTCATGGGTTGTTCCTTTTTGCCTCCTAGCCCCATGTGGTGTTTGTGGCCTTTAAATGACTCTTCTTTCTTTTCTGAATGTAGAGAAGGCCATTCAGTCCTCTTATTATTCTCTAATTTAATGATAACAATGGCTCAGTACTGTCCCCATTTTCCTATAGGAGGCTCACAAGGCAACCATTAGCGGCTCTATTATACTGTATGGATTGAATTATGTCGCAAAAAGGGAGAGGAATAAAAACATTGGTGGCCTGTATCAGGAGCTGGAATGGAAGTCCCGCCCTTCTTCTTCTTTGCGTGCCCAAATAACATCACTAAGAATGGAATTAAATCTGCTTCTAAATGATCATTCAGAGAAGCAACTGCATTGGTCTAAAAACAACATTTTTATGCCAGAGCTAATAAGCAATTTGGGATTTTCCATCACTTTCTGTTTTGGTGACAATGTTAACCAAGACAAATAGAGAGGGTGAATCTCACCAAGCGAAGAAGCAAAGTCACAGACTTAATAAAAATTCATCCAAATAAAACATGGCCATACACATGTCAAAGTGGACTGAGATATACTTATGTAGAAGGCCCCTGCTCCCTGAATACAACATGCTAGATTACATCACGTCAATCATGTTCTTGCAGCTTCCTGTCTCTGGCTTTAATCTAATGTTTTATAATCAGTAGGTGAGGGGCTGACACATAAGTAGAAGTGCAATTATAGTACAAGGTTCACATTATAAGCATGCAATCACTTCATACAGTTTCCACAACTGTAATACAAAAACAAATTGTCAGCAGGGCTCGGCAAGCTGTTTATTAATAGCTAATTACATTTACATTTTGCCAGACGGTATCAGGGGCGTATCTGCCGCGAGGCAAACAAGGCGTTTGCCTGGAGCGGCAGATTCGCTGAGGGCGTGGGGGGGGGTGCTGTATGAGCAGCGGCGGGTCAGTCAGGGGAGGGGGGATTTTCCGAGAAGCTGCGGGGGAGGGGGCGGCGCTGCTGCCTTGCCTAGGGCAGCAGCAAAGTTAAATATGCCGCTGGACGGTATTATACAGTAGTTACAAATTATTTTTACACTCAAAACACTCAGACCTGGAGATTTCCAAGGGGGAAATGAGGCCAGTTCCACCAATATAAATAGTTAATAAATACACTTTTACTTCATATATACACATACACACCAAAAGTATATAAACTTCTATAAAACCCTCAGTGCATGAATACAAAATCCCCAACCACACACAGATACAAATATTAAAACACATTAGAACATTGTCCTGGTGCAGAGCTTCAGAATAAATAGATGATCAGTTTTTGTCCATATCATAATTTAGTAACTAATGTTTATCAAAATCCCACCCGTTCCTATGTTATTTATAACATCTTTTTGGCCACAAATGATTACATTGTTCATTCAAAGAGATGCATGTTCCTCCTCACATTTATAAACCCAATGCGCATCGTGATGGGTATTTCCTTCATACTGAAGAGTTCTTAAAGTGCGTACACATTTCTCTCACTGTCATTTCATTGTTGTCCTCAAAATAGGAAGCACCACAGTGACACAGAACTTGTTCCCTTACATCTCAGGATCATACAAGAATCCTCATGAGACAGCAGAGTGCACATATGTTTTCTCTTTGCCACAACTTGTTCTGTATCTCCTGACAAGGGACTCAAGGGGCAGATGAAGTATCATACAGGTCTCAGTCACACAGCAAGAAGCCAGGAGAGGGAAAGCCAATAAACAGATCCGCTTATCAACAGCCACACAAATATGCAGCTCATGTAAGTGGCTTGTTCATGAACACATACTAGTGTCATCCACTATTTATAATTCCATTGTACTATATGTATCTTGTACCTGGTAGAGGACAGATTTGGATGAGGAGGCCCCCCCTGCAGCTCTTGTCTCACACCCCTGGAAGTGGGGACAGGGAACGAGCAGACAGAGAGGAGCACGGTGCCAAGGCGTTCAGGCCCAGTGCCTAGCAGAGTCCAACAACAGATTACCTGAGGAGGGTAGGAGGGATCAGCGTGGTCAACAGCAGGAACTGGAGCAAAGTCAATCAGAGGAAAACTTGTCACTTCCTGTGCTCCACGTTAGCACGTCTGTTACTTGTGTGCACGTGCGCACCAGCGCATGTTTCCCGATAATATAGAAAGCTGGGACCAGCGCATGCATCGTAGCGCGCAAACTTCCGGCTATAATGCTACAATAAGCGATCACTCTTCCCCCTCCTGGGTAGAACATGCCGTTTCACAGTCACCTGTGGTGCACACTGGATAACATGCCCATATTTGTATCTCTCTCAGTCCATTGGCGGTATCTGCTAAAGATATATCGATCATGCCAATCACATGCACATGTTTCCCATTATGGAGCCAGATTGCCAGAGAGCCTCACTATTGCAGCAAGAAATCGGCCTTGCGTGCCCTGACGTATTTCCTCCCATACTGGGACTACCTCAGAGGGGGCGGGGCTCTCTGCTCAACAAACCTTCTATATACAGTGTTACCAGAGAAAACCACCCCTCCTATCCAAGCTGTTACCCCTGGAAGCAGCTTTACCACTGCAATTCAGGCTGGGGGGCAGATGAATCGTTCAAAAAAAAGCAGCCTACGGACATTCACAAAACACTGCATACTAGGAAAAATAATATATATACCTATTACCCTGTGTGTGACACCATATACTGCATTTAATGAACTAAACTTCCTCTTCATGTATTCACTTCATACCAATAATTCCTTCAAGGATTTTGCACTCTTATAAGTTATTTGGGGTTCCTTGGCTACAAATCTGGATATCCTTGTATCACATTATAGATTAGACCAGTGTTTCCTCAATATCCTTTCAATATTTTTATGTTGAATACAATACCTCAAAATTAGTCTTCATCTTTATTCACATCATCTCTATGTGTTCCATATTCCACACCTGTAACCAAAATATTAAGAGATCTTTTTACCTTCACTCTATTGTTGGCTTTACAGAGAAAGTAAAATTGCGGCTTTCCCTCACATACTGATCAGTGGGGATCCCTCTAATGGTACTACTGAGGTGGGCACTACTTCTAAGATTGCGTTACCTCCTGTTTTCTTCCAAAACAAAGTTGTATACAATTTTCCATCATTGTTTTTGCGAATTTGCACATCCAAACAGGATCATCTGTTTTCGTCCATTTTACAAAGTAAATTTTAAATTGTAGTCGTTGATATTTAACATTTGCACAAACTCCTTCAAATATTCACTTGAACCTGAAAGGAGGTGATTTTCTCCTGGAGATCCAAACTCATCAAAATGAACCCTTATTGGTTCTGTCTACCTGATCCGTAACCAAAATGAATGCACAAACAAAGAGAGGACTAGCCAAAAGGACGAGTCCAAGAGGTTACTGATTGATCCATCAGTAACCTCTTGGACTTGTCCTTTTGGCTAGTACTCTCTTTGTTTGTGCATTCACTTGAACCTACCCACAAAAAGAAGATGTCATCTATGTACCTTTTGTGAACCAGTGTGCTGCGCTTGGTATTGTGATACGTGCTATATTTATACCACAAACGAAACCAATATAAGTGATCAAATCCTACTTGCAACTAAATGCAATCCAAAGGTGCATATGTGCATGAACGTTAATAAATACACGTGTCATATAAATATGGTGAAGGTACGAATATAAAACTGATTGGTTAAATATGATAAGTTAAATAAGTTAATGAATAATGCATATGTGTGCCATATAGTGAAAATACAATGTGGATACTAAATGGTTGAATTATAAACCAGGTAAATTAATCAGTCTGGCAATCGTCAACAATAAATAAAAAGGACAATAATTTAAAGGAAGACTGATGTATAACCAATCTAACACATCTAAAACCACATCTAATGGTATAAAGTGAATAAATATAGGTGGATAAATATAAAATTGTATAAGCGAGGGTTGTAACACCAATAGTCTATTTTCTACTGAATGTTATTAGAAATCCAGTGTCTTTTGTTTATACTTCCATTGATGCGTCCGCAAAATAGAAAAAGGAAACCTTCTCTGTAAGTTTCTCTGTCCTCTCCTGCCGTCAGGCTACACTTCCTCTCATCGGCGATA